TCCAGTCTCTCGCAATCTATTAAATGTCAACATAAACACTCTTCGGTTTGGCACTCTTCTGTTTGGAAATCGTCGTGCATATTCTCGCACCGCCTTTAAAGCATTACCGTTGCAGAAACCGTATACAAAAACCATATCAGCATATTCACTATTAGAATACGTACGCGGCATATTGCAAAAGACAAAATTCATCTACTGTTAAAGGCTTTCAAAGAGCGACTGACAAATTCATAACAGAAAGTGGAAAATGTAATCAAATATGTCGGTGCTAGATATGGCAAGAAATGTAAACATTTTTTTTCGATTTCTCTGAAACGGAGCAAAAACGAGCATATGTCTATAGGACTTTTTTTCTTAGTTTTTTACTCCTCTACACGCTCCCGAAGTTTTGCCATTTAATTTGGAAACACCCTGTATATGTGGAATAAGTGATATAAATAAAAATGTTTTAAATAGAAAAGTAATAATACTTTTTTTATTTTATTAAAATAATAACAGCTTTTTTATTTTAATGTCTAAAATAATAAAGAAATGTAATATTACTTTTGTTTTTTTGTAAAAGGTACAGAAGTTAGTTAATGTTTAGCAGTTATATTTAAAAGTATAGTATGGCAATCATGTATTACGTAAATATTGTAAATATTGGATTTAACAATCCAATATTTAACAGCAGAGAAAATTAGTGTACGTGACTGGAAAAAAGGTTGTAAAATGCGACTAGGATTATAAAGATTAAATTAGCGGTGGCCAAAGAACCATTCGAGCTGCACTCCTCGACGTTATCAAGAAGCTCTTTATAGGCAACCACTGTCGTCTTCGTCGACGATGTAGAAACCAAGCCGGCCGAGGAATCTTTGAAGAGAAGATCTTTTTCCCCGTTGAATGGTCCGTAAATATGAATTGATCTTCGAGCGTTTACACGATATCCTAGCCAGTCTTCCAGCTTTAATAAAGCTAGAATAGTATTCGTCCTAGAGATTTCATTATCATCTTTCTTATCACCAACAACCTAAGAACATTACAGTTTATTCGATTTGTGCAAAAAAATATTGTTATTAATGCATATACTATTTGCATATAATATTTTTGATATCTCAAACTGATATTTTTGTTTTTGTCCTATATTAATATATTTTTTATTAATTTTGTATCTCTACATATATCTTTCGTATTCAATTAACGATAAAATTATACATATATAATAATTATTAAATCAATAATACTAAGAATTTTTAACAGAGATATTTGATTTCTCGATTTTTACATTAAAAATTGATTAAATAATATAAATTTTATAAAAAGTTACATAATTTTCTTTCATTAGATTTTTTAAATATTATATAAATGATCTTCAAAAAAATTATTTACCTCGCTATCAATTGTTACCGATAATGCACAATTTTCGTCAACATTAAATCCTGATTGTTCGGCCAAACTTCCATTTTTGCACAGAATACGGTATGTGTTTAATTCGGTAACGTTGTCTATGTAATAATAATTTAATAATTATTGATTATTAAATGAAAATTTTAAGAATAATGCATAGCATCGTTTAAATTTAGTAAAAATGTTTTCTATAATTACGAATGAAAAACTGCAAAAATAAGTATTACAAAATTAAATTTGAAGAAAACTATTTGCATTAATATTAAAAAAATTGATGTATTAAAAGCATTCTGTAAAATGATCTTTGAAATTAAAAGAATCGGTTATAAATGTTTTCTTAAGCTTCAATATATTTATAATAATACTATATTGCTTTTTATTACTGGGAATATTTGTCGTCTCAATAAATGCTATGTCGCCAGCTTCATCAGTTAGGCATCGTAAGGCTCCTTCGTCACGGTAATAACGATTAGTTTGATTCACTGCACAGGACGGATTATTTTGATTTTTACAAGCCGAGCAAAGTTTAGACGCTACGTCCGAAGGGATGGCAGTGCTCGAGTGGTCGGAATCTTCTATTCCAGGGGCACAAGCACCCGAAAACAGTTCGGACACCAATAATGAATAGTCACAGGATTTAGATGAGATGATATTGCTTCTTCTAGCAGCATTGATGAAACTCAACCAACTAAGTCCGCCGTATTCAGGGAAACATGCCTTTTTGCCATTTAAATCTTGGAAGTTCTTTATGAGATAATTATCATCTTTAGGCTCACGTATCACAGCGAGTGTCACACTATTCTTAGTCACTTCAGTTTCGCTGTACAGAATCGTTGACAAATTATAAACTCTGCAAGCAAATTAAAGAAACGTCAAGTAATGCCATAATTTCACGTACATATATATTCTTTTTCCCCAAAATTTCGTTGATACTTTAAATTTTCCGCTTACTTTCGTGCCAGGTAACCATAGTTGGAATCAATGACGATTATATCTGTTCGATTTTCTTTTATATCGTGGAAACATTGAAATGTGGAATTTGACATGATACAAGAAATGCTCGGTGCCACACCGAGAGCTTTCGCTGCTTTCGCCACCCACTTACACTTATTAGTCTCCGAATCGCCAATCGTGCACCAACGAATGTACTTGCCGCAGGTTTTAATATTTTCAACATCGATTTCTCTTCCCTGCAAGTAATTAGCTATAGTCGTTTTTACCATATCTACACCTTTGTTATCCTCTTGTATAATTCGGCTTAAACTAATTTTCCAGTTTTCTTTCGGATTATGTATCCAGTCCAATAACTGTGGCTTAAGAGAGTCTGCGACTTCTCTGAAAAAAGCGAATAATAATCAAGACACATTACAGGCGGATTATTTCAAAAAGAGACCTTGTGTGGTTTTCAGAATATATTTTCGAAAAATGTGAAAGAAAAGCTTTTTCTCATTTATCTTCACTACTATTCGCTTACTTTCTAGCTGCGACGACGCTCCACGGTTGTTGGAGCCACGTGCAAGCATATGAAGTGGATAAAGGAAGAATATTGCCATCTGGACATAAAAACTGGTACGATTCATTTCCCTGGAACATACAAAAAATAATTAATATAATACCATATAATAAATCAATATAAATAATTAATAATTGCTATACATGATGTTTCTATGAATTGCAATTGTAACTGTTGTTTTAAATAAAAATGAAACATCCTACTTACTTTGAGATAATCCTGAACGTATTGAAGTGCTACGTATGCCACTTTACCACGACCTTGAGTTAGACATTGCAAAGCTCCGAAATGTCCGTGGTTTTCCTTACTATTATAACTACAAGCCGTCGTGTTGTCACAAAGAGCACATAATTCTGGATATTTCTTCTCTGAGAAATATTATATTATTATTAATTATATATCTTTTAGAAACAGTGCAATTTTTATTCTTGAACTTGTGAAATCTTCAAAATAACTTTAAGTTGTTTTTTTTTTTTTTAAGTAGAGGTTTATAACAGGTAATTGATAGAATTGCATGTGATATAAAAAAATAAGTTTATTTTAACATAAAGAATTTTACTTAGTTCTTGATCGATGGACTTATCAGAAGCCCATTCGCCTGGTCTACAAGCTTTTCCAAAGAAATTCTTGAGATTTATGACCTCATTTTCAATAACGGTTACATTATCTCGGCACTGCAGAGGATTCACTGACAATGTGTTTTCAAAATACTTGAGAATATAATCACTCAGCTTTTGAGAGTGACTAAAACCAGGATGGCAAAATCCATTATCTTTCAAATGTTCAAGACGTTGGCGAGGAGTTCGCTGTATGAACGTTTTATTTATGGGGATCACTGCTACCATTTGGAATTCAAACTCATCTGTGGAAATTAAATTATGTTTATATATTTATTTTTATTGTTATACATACCTATAACCAAAGAATTTAAGAAAATATTGTGTTTATTTTAATATTTATTTTAACATTAAATTTAATACTTATTTAATACTCAATAACAAAATATCATTTTTAAGAACGATTTAGAACTTAGTGATTTTTAATTAATTTGGTTTTTAATTAATTTCAGAGAAGACTGTTAATGATAATTCATAGTTCCAAGAAAGTTATACTTTAAAAACATTTAAGCAATACGTTTTAATTAATTTATTATTAGTATTTTGTGTGTGTTTGACTCTAAATTATTAATTTTTAACTTGATAAAACTTCGTGTATTAATCTTTGATAATTTCATATTTATTACTAATCCTGATTTTTTTATTCATTATAAATCAAATTCAATTTTCAATCATATGTCTAATTGGCGTTACAATAAGTACTAATTTCATCGTATACATTTTTTTTAAAGTTTTCTACTACCTAATTGTTTGTTCCTATGCTTCAGTTGAATAATAGGTTCGATGTCAGATGGATAAAATTGATTTATTAACAACAATTCTTCTGCATTGAAAACACCAAAATCGGCTTCGCCTTCAGCTAAGCGAATAGCGCACTCGGAGCTGTCCGACACGCTCAAACACGACACTACAGAATTTCCTCGTTGCACAGCGTAGCACGAACTATTGCTCACCACATCACTGGGTGCGCAAAATTTGTCTGAAAAATTGTGAATCGATCGATATATAAACTCAGTTATCAGATTGATTAATACTTTGACGCTCTAGAAATGTCCGTTTATATATTAAAAGAAAAAAAGAAGAGAGAGAAAAATAATTTAATTAGATATAAATATATAATTTAATTAAATAATTTATGAAGATTAATAAGAATGAAATGATTGTCAAAATACTCTTTACTTTCTAATCTTTTTTATTCTAAATACTGAATACATTTTTATCAATAATTTTATTAAGTTTAGTTCAAGCTCTCTTTAATCGAGGTAATTCCTAAAGTGTTATCATAATCTTGATGTTTGATTTTATATGTTTGCACTGCATCAAAGTCTAATTTTGTCCATTTATGTATCAGGAGTCACAAAAACTTAATAAGATTTCCGAGAAGATTTATATGTTATGAAAAGATGATAGGATGACAATATATTTATAATATAAAATAATATTTTACATTGGTAAGATGTTACGTTAATTGCAATCAAATAATTTGATCATTCTCAAGATATCTGTTTATTTGATCCTTGATAATAATACAAAAAATAAGCGTTATCATAAATTGCTGAACTTCTCAAAAGTAAAGTTGAATGTTAATACATTTTAGTTAGATGAAAATGTCCGTTAATACAATAATATAAATTTTTCTCTTTCTAATATAAAGATTGAAAAATTCTTCTTTAGGACTGCGTTTAGAAACTTCACCCAGATCATGTTTAACATTCAATAAGCGGTAAAGACAAAATAAACTTGAATAGATGAACGTATTTCAGAATTTGTTCAGAATCACTGTTTGTTTATTAAAATTTGCATTTAAATATGAATTATTATACAAAATACCAAAAATTTATTACAACTTTTGTATAAATGGATGGTTTTATTAAAATATAATAAATAGATAATTTTTTTATATAAAATAAATTCACTTACATTTGATCTCTTGCGCACGTGCAGCTGCAACGAGCAAAATTACCCAAACGAGATTCCTCATTGCTGATCTGGAGACAATATCCAGCGAGAGTTTAATACGAACTGGAGCGATTGAATCGTTGGAGCGATTAAGTGTTTTTCAACATGGACAGCAAAGAGGAACTAGGTGTGCCTCTTCTCACGAACCGAACGATAAGAAACCTCCGATAGCGAACGCACACGCCCTATGCAGTATACATACATACGTCGATATATTATCATTATTTCTGTAACCATGTTGTCCTAGCCTTTGAGGATCAGATCATTGGTGCAAATCATCGATTGTGGAAACAGCGCGGCATTTATCACAAGTCTACTTCAAATGGTTTGTAGGAATATTAAATAACGTCACCAATGAAATTCTACATATAATTGTGAAATCTATACATAATTTTATAATAAGTACAACATAAATGTATTAATACGTTATGATATATGTGTAATTAAATATATAATTGTAACATAAACATGAATAAATTAAATAAATTTTGAGTTCGGACTCTTACGTTATATTAAACGTTATTTAAGAGATAGTTACGTAGATGCATATATTATATATACGTGATTGAAATTATTGCTCTGTTTGTTTTTATGATCAATTTTTAGGATCTATTATCATGGTTTACATTTTCGGAAGTTGTCTTTAATATTCTTTAATTACATCATGACGAATAATGTTGAGTCGTCAATGACGAGTATATTCCAAGATAAGCAATGTATTACTCGCTTATCAGATGATAGATTTCCGCGAAAGTATCAGCCAACTGATGACTAAACATCAATGATGAATATCAATTCCCTTAGATTTCCAATACAAAAAATACAAGTATATATTGTTAAAAATACAAGTATATATTGAGTCTGTAGTCTTAAGATTTACTTGTTCTGAGAAGTATAATCTGTAGCCAACAATTGTTGGTACTGGTAAACGAATTTTTAACAGCCAAGTAGATATTGTAGGACTTTATTTGATCAATAAATAAAAGATGGTCATCAAAATCTGAGATATACACAACAACGATAACAAAATTTTGAAGGATTTAGAGCGTTAATTAAATTTACAATTTCTAAGATTTATTTAGAATATTAAAAAAAGTCATATTTAAAATAAATTATAAGCTTATTCTATTCTAATTTCGAATCCTTCTATCGATTTACTTTACTTTTATCATTCGAGAATAAAGATAAAGAAAATAACGTAATCATATTTTCGTACATTAGAAACATAAAACAGCATAATGCTTTATTGCAGCTTGCACTTTTTTGTCTTTGGTAATAGTGAAACAGCATTCATACGGTATTCTATTGTGTCCAAACGAACAAAATATGCAATTTTTCATGCTGCTATGAAAATTATGCACGTACGAGTGTCAGAATAATTTGTCAGATAATTACGAGTATATATTAAACCGAAGGCTATGTATTTTCGCTTAAGTCCGTATTGAGAAGAGCAATCTTAATTTTTAGAAATAGTGATTACTCTTTAGGGATGATCGCATTAATTACAACGATTCTCGGTACGTTTGCACATAATAAAGTGCATGCATAATAAAGGACCGTAATGGTTGCGTATTATATTGAGGATATTTAATCTCGTATTAAAGAGTACATTGATATTGTGAACGTATGGTGCGTGGTGATGTAATCGTGACGGAGTCATTAATATACGCGAGTTTGCAGGATTTAGTAGGATACACGTTACCGCAGAAGAGAATAGCCAAGTGTATTCATCATTGACATTTATTTGCGTGGACGGCACCGTAATGCCATTAGCGAATGTTTGCGATGGTATCCCTCATTGTCCGGACTCGTCGGACGAAGTCGGAACACTTTGCCGTCATGTTGTGTAAGAAGATATTTTCCGTTAACTTTCCCTATTAGTCACTAAACCAGAAGTATCGCAAAAAAAACCGGATATTTTCCAACTAAAGATAAAACAGTTAAAGTACTGATAAGACTTTTTTTTACTTTACTATGCCTATCTCTATCATATTCGAGAAAGGTCTTAAACACATTTTACGTATTTGACTTTTTGTTACAACGTTGTGGCATTTTTTTGACTAAAATACTTTTAATATCTCAGAAAAAATGCATTTGCGGATTTAAATGTGCATTTCCGCTTCCACTCATGTGCGCCAGCATGCATGAATCACGTTTATGTTATCAGTGTATTCTGTTAATTGAAAAAAATTTCAGATAACATGTACGTTGCAGACGACTTTTAGATATTTTTTAAACATAAGACACCTAAGAAACATCTTTCAGATATCTTAAGCAACATAAATGTTATCTGGGAATGCAATTAATAGAATATGCTGTAATAATTTGAGAACAATAATATATATGCAATAATTTGAACAATCGTTATGAAATGTTAAATATTATTAAATCTTTTTTGCAGGTGTCCCACTTATATGTACAGATGCAATTACGGTGCCTGCGTGAGTCGTACGGTGCGATGCAACGGTCTGGTGGATTGTATGGACGCTAGCGATGAAATCGCTTGTGACCGAGGCGTTAATGATATTTGTTCCGACAGAGATTTCCAATGTTCTACTGTTTATCAAGAGTGCGTACCTTTCGTCGAGGTGTGCAATGGTCTGTAATTATCACATTAATTTAATCACATTAATTGTTAAGTTGTTCTGATATAAAATTATGCAATATAATGTAATATTTTACTTTTTGTACTTGAAAATTTTATCTTTATGTTCTCCCTGCTTTCTATCAGGCTACAAAGATTGTTCGGACGGGAGCGATGAGAATGCGACAATTTGTCGCGAATATACATGTCCCGAGCATACGTTCCGTTGTTCGTACGGAGGTTGCGTTCACCAGGAAGTGGTTTGCGACGGCGTGAAGGATTGTGTCGACGGCACCGACGAAGACTCGAGCATGTGCGCGACTGTCAATTGTGAGGGTCACGAATGTTTGCAATACGAATGCCGGTTGGTTAATTGATTTATTTCTTGTTGATTAAAAAATTAAAATTCGGATAGTTTATTTCCTATTTTTGCAGAGATCAAGAATTCACATGCGAGAATAGACGGCAGTGTCTACCGATGACTAAAGTGTGCGATGGTACTCGACACTGCGCAGACGCGTCTGATGAAAGTGCAAAACTGTGCGAAGCACATGAGTACGTATATTAAGAATAACTCGAGACCTGGATTGAATAATTTCTCTGTAATTTAATTTTATGATTAAAAGATTTTATATTAATTCTAAGAGATTAATTATTTTATTAAAAATTGATTTTTTTAAGTGAATATTCGTTATTTTATTCAAATAACGAGAATTTCTCTGCAAAGTATCTATTTCCAATATTTCCAGAATATGAAAACTATAATACTTTTCGTATCGACTGCATATTAATTAATAGAGGTCATTAATAACTAGAAAGGTCCTTTCAGAACCACACAAAAAAATTTGTGTCAAGTAATTCTAATCAAAGTAGATTTTCAGTCACAAGAAAACAATAATCATTGAAATAAATACGAAAAAATCAGGCCATAGGAGTCACACGCAAGTTATTAGTAAAGCGGAATTATTCACAGACAATTTTAACCTAGAACGTTTCGACTCTCGGTTTGAGTCATCTTCAGCTAATCATAGTTAAAAATTATTTAAACTAAAACGATTTCACGCATTGCAACAGTATAACATCGCCAACATCTGAAGCCCATCGGACAATGTTCAACAATTCAATAATCATTGAATTTTTGTCCTAAAAACAATTAAAATAAAGGGCATTTACCACGAGCGCTCGATGTCTAATGACGAATCTTCTTCCAAAGTCAATACTTAAAAATACATTCAATTATAATTTCTAACATAATCATCAACTATACATAGACGTTTCGACCTCATATCGGGCCATCATCAGTATATAACTAAAATTAACATACAATCCTATATGAGAGTACACAAAGAAAATTGGAAACAGTAACATGTCACCCACTGATGAGATTAAATACTCTAAGTTCTACTTATACACAGAATCTAGAAATTATGTGTGCAAGTACAACAATTAGATAACATCGGTTAACATGAAAAATTGTATGTGAAAAGGAAAAAAAAACAACGGATTATATGAACATGTAAAGAAAAGAAGATACTCGACATTTAATTGTAATAGGATTGTATGTTAATTTTAATTAACTGATTAATATACTGATGATGGCCCGATATGAGGTCGAAACGTCTATGTATAGTTGATGATTATGTTAGAAATTATAATTGAATGTATTTTTAAGTATTGACTTCGGAAGAAGATTCGCCATTAGATATCGAGCGCTCGTGGTAAATGTCCTTTATTTTAATTGTTTTTAAAAATTTGACCACGTATTGACAATTAATGTTTTGTCCTAAAATTCAAAATAATTTTAAAACTTAATGTAATAGATCAATTTAGCTCGTGGCATTGCTTTTTATGACCGAAAATCTATAAGAAATACCTGAGTTACTTGACACAATTTTTTTGTGCTCTTTAGTAGTCGTTATTTTTTATCTACAGATGTTCTGAAAATTGGTTTCGTTGCGCTTATGGCGGATGCATTCGGCCGGAGTTGAAGTGTAATTCTCAACTTAATTGTCACGACTGGAGCGACGAGGATGAGTCGTTGTGCGGGATAACGCTGCCCGAAGGTGCCTGTCGATTGCCCGCCGCAAAAGCGGGGACCCATTACAGCGTGAGCGGATGCTCCAGATGTCGACCGGGAGAAGTCGCTCCCGAGCTCACTCGTCTTGATTATGTCTGCGACGTCGAAGGCTCCTTGCAAGGTGCCAGTGAAATTTACTGTCAAAATAACCGATGGTTTCCCAATGTTCCGAGTTGTACCTTCAGTAAGTAACGTTCATTCTGCGATCGGAACGAGATTTGTCTTTTTATCTATCATATAAATTATTTTTTTACGATCGATCGCGCATATAATATATTCTAGAGAATGAGACGGAAGGAATAACGTGTCCAGCGCCGTCTGAGGCGCATGATGCGATTAGACGATGCGAGGCCATGTGGGGTCCTCACAAAGGGTGGCTGTCTTGTGATCGGGCCCTCCCGGTCGGCACGAGAGTTTTTCTTGAATGTCCAGCATTTTATGAGCGTCACAAAGGATCTTCCAGTGCCATGTGTCTTCACGACGGCACGTGGAGCCAATCACTTTTGAGTTGTGCTCCTATCTGTGGGATGAGAGACTCCACAGGTTTGGACAGGTTGCTTACTTTCAATGAATTAATATTAACACTAATTAAATATGTGTAATCATTTATAAATATTTTTTTTATAGCAAGTATTATATTTTTAAAATTAATAAACCATTGTTCAACGTTTTTGTTAAAATTGTTGTATTTAGAGCAAATGCACAAGTATTTTTAGAGGTAGTCTATAATGAAGATAGTAAGCCATAAGCTGTAAAAAATTGGTCAATCATAGTCCATTATTTTTTCAACATTCAATTGTGATTAGTTAGTTTCTTACGGCTTACGAGTTACTATTTTTATTATAGTCGGCTCTTTTGGAGTTATTAATGTGTCCTCTATTTTTAATCGTTATAATGTAAATAATTTTCTTATCAATATATAATATAAAATATAATATAATATAAATATAATATAATATTATATGCATTTTATGAAACACGCGGTAATCTAAACTTTTAAATTTGCAATTTAAGAAATGTTAATATTTTTAGCGGCAGCACTGATTGTAAAGGGTTGGAGCGTTGAGAGGGAAGAGACACTACCGTGGCAAGCTACTCTTTTCTCGCACGAGGATGGTCAGTGGAGATTCTTTTGCGGCGGCACGTTGATAGCAGAACACGTTGTGTTAACTGCTGGTCACTGCGTTTGGAAGACTGCTGCAGATACGATACGTGTCGCTTTCGGAATTCTTTCGAGTGACTTAAATCAAATAGGAGAAAACGCGCAAGTAATCGACGTGGAAAGCATTGAGCTGCAGAACGCGTATCAAGATCACGAGAGTAACTATGGCTCGGACATTGCGTTGCTGATTTTGAAAAAAGCTGTGATTATTAACACAGTTGTCGGACCAGCTTGCGTTCCTTGGGATTCCGACGCGATATTATTGGAATATCAGCGAAACAGTGGGCTTGGATTAGTTGCCGGTAAGTTTAAATTTTACATTAAAAATTTAAAATTAGAGAGTAAAGATATTGAAAAAATTAAATATTTTTGATTAAAAATATCGCTCATAATTTTTTTATTTAATATATTCAATAAATTATTTATGTACAAATTATTCACGTAACGCATTTCTTTTAAAAGAATAGTAATTAATTCTATAAGTTTAAAGCTCACTAATTAAAGATAAAAAGATCTATGTTGCTAACTGTGATTGGCAACAATTAATAAATGGATTTTTTAAACAGTTCCTGGAACTTGAGACATTTTTCAGGCATGGGGCTAACGGAGAACGACACATTTAGTTCAGTCTTGAGGGTAACTACAGTGAAAATCATTTCCGACGACGAGTGTCGTAAAAATCAAAATAGGGATTTTCGAAAATATTTGACTTACACTTCCTTTTGCGCCGGATGGGCGAATGGTACTGGAGTATGCAATGGAGACAGCGGTGGAGGTTTGGTGCTTCAGCGACCGAATTCCAGTGTCTGGGAAATTCACGGAGTCGTTTCTGTGAGCCCACGGAAACTGGGTACTAGCGTATGTGATCCAAACTTCTATACTGTTTTCACAAAGGTATAATAATATAAATGTACTTACAAATGATGAATATGTTAAGTCCCATCTGTAATATATAATTTGGTTATCTGCAAGTAATCCTTGTAAAATCTGCAATGCATTTTATTATATCTTCTATAATATTTTTCACGCACAATAAGTATATTAATTATTAATTATATTAATTTAACATTTATTACATTAATAAATTATGTTATTTATAATATTAATAATTTACATAATTTATATAATTTAAATTATTATAATTTACATAATTTATAATTTAAATTATTATTAGATTATATATTATTTTGTTTAATGTTGCTATAAAGGTTTCTATGTACGTCAATTGGATTCATGAAATTATTGCGAGCATATCTACAACCGGCTTATCTGATTTTGATCAACAACCAAACAGAGATAACATTATTATTTAAGCGATCATAAACTAAATTGATTTCAATTATAATACATATTTAAATAAAATTAAGTTATAAATGTTTGTTATATAATATATAACATATCTTAAAGTATACATACTACAAATACTGTATATGTATGCGTAGGCGTTAATTTAAAAAATTAGATTACTTATAAATCATTGATATCAGCACATCGTTTATTCATTAAATTATCACATCGAAAAATTAAATGCCGTTTCTATTAGTATTATCCACATGGTGGAAAGAATTCAGGTGTATTATGTTTAAATGTTTGGATAGAGAGTTAAAATTCCAAATTAATTTTGTTTATCATAGGATACTAAATATCTAACATAAAGATTGTAATTTTATTTCATCAAAAATATTAATTTAAATTATTTTATCAGTATTACTTTGTGCCAAACTTTTGCATTTCGAGAAGAGAGAGAGAGAGAGAGAGAGAGAGTAGAGAGAGAGAGAGAGAGAGAGAGGAATAACATTACGTTATTTTAAATAAATAAATTGAGAAAATTTAAAATGAAAAAGTAAAATGTTCGAATAAATTTATATTATAAAGAATTAAATATTTCATTTAGAATATAATCTTGATACGTATTTGTGGCGTACAATGCACTTTTGTTTACGTAAGATCGCCGACCTGTGCCGCGATGAGATTACTGTACGTGTTATCATTCACACTATGCTCAAACAAGAAGTTAGTATGTATAACGCTCAGGGTTTTTATTTTTCGAAATACGATTGCTAATAATTCAGTTCGCATGTATAATTAACTTTTGAGATTAATCATATGTAAGCATATCGTGGCAACAACAATGACGTATTGAAGCAAACATCTCGCACTACTTATATTTATTTGAAATAGAATGCGTACGCAACAGAATATAAAAATTACAAATTACTATTTTATTGCGATCAGTATCATCTTTTTAACTTGGTGCTTAGAATTCAACAAATCTCGCATTAGATTGTGAATTTGAATATAATTTATCTACTACTTTTTCCGGATTAAAAATGCGCAGAACCGTACGAAATTTATATCGAGAGACATCTATTTATCGAAAAAGTCGGAATAGATTCCGATCGGAATTATTCAACTATTTTCTATGTTTCTATTGTGTTTTCTAGGGAAAACGGAATAATTCCGATCGCGCGGAATTCATTTCGATATGTTCCATGATAGGTACCCTGATTTCCTTCCACCATATGTATCCTTTTTTTATTTCTTTTCCTCGAAAACAAAAGAATATTTTCTCTCGAACAGCAGAAATGAATAGCATGAATATTGACAATATGTCAAATCAGTAATATAAAATTTATAATTTTGAAAATATTAATTAAAGACGTGCATGTTTAAATAATTGATTTACCTGATCGGTGAACATCTTTTTAGTATAAGTATTACAATTCCGTGTTTTAAATCAATATGATGAATCTTTCAACGACTACCGTAAGTATAATAAAATTAAAACGAACAATATGTTTTAGCTAGATATACTAAAACATACAAAATAGAAAAATACGGATTTATAAACACGATCAACTTTAATATAAATTAGTTTTTTTAAGAAAAAATAAAATACCTTTTAAAAATTGATAAACTTTAATGTATTCGTACAATATTTCTATCTAATGCCATTTTCTGAAAATATTATTATATTATGTTTTAATTTGTATGTTAATATTACATCACAAAGTCGACTATTTCGATGCAAAAGGGACAGAAAATACAGATAGTACCCACTATAGATGAGTCAGCAACAGGTATAAGATACAATGACGTATACATCTCACCGAGTCATATAAAATTCAACGAAACCTTCGAAGGAATTACGCATCGACAGCGTATTACTATCAAGAATGTCGGGTATAAACCAGCGGTTATCAGAATCTGCCCGCTAAATTCTATAGTAAATATGCTTAATATGCGTTATAGTAAGTCATAATTAAGAATTTTAAGAAGTAAGAGAAATTCTCAATGATTATCATTTCTCGAAAGGCTTTTCAAGTAAAAACTTTGAAAAGTGGAATACGGGTGAGTCCTGGATTAAGTATAACAACATACGTGACTTACACGTTCAAAAGAACGTCTATATCGCGTGCAATAATTCCGATCGAGATCAATGGAAAGATTTTCGATTATCACGTGATATCTACCTTAGCCACCGAATATATCAGCATTGAACCGAAGTCAGTTGACTTTGGCACTATCGACATTGGCTATTCATCCGGTTTAAAAATAGTAACAATCCGTAACGAAGGAAACAAAAGTACCAGGTATTTGTGATATTTATAGAATTTTTTTGGACGTTAGAAATAAAACTGCATTAAAAAAAGGTAATATACACTTTTTTATTTTTATTAGAAAAATATTTTCATGCTGAGATTTCGGTTTTAACTTCTTTATTGTATAAAAAACATAATAATTTTATAATTTTAGATTATGAAAATAATTTTTATATAAATTTCTACATAAAATATGGATTAACTCTAATAAGATTTTTCGTGTAATTTATATTTTACTTAAATGAGAAATAAGCTTAAATATAAAATAAAGAAAGTTTGATATAAGATAAATCGATAAAAATTTTAAATTATCCAGATTCTTGATCGATCTCGGGCGAAATGACCTAGACTTAATGATAAAACCTCTTCGTGGAAGAATCAAACCACAAAAAGAAGTAATACTTCAAATTAAATTAATGGGCATAAACAAAGGCATCTTTTATAGCGAATTTTGGTAAGATATATTTTGCTATTCGTCATCGTAATTTTCGTCGTAAGAAAGATTCGTATAAACTTTTCCATTAGGATTAAGTCTACTCCAAATATACGCGTTCCCATCAAAGTGCGTGTAATCGTGCCAAAATTGGTAGTTTATCATTCGAATACGACTGGAGATTTTACCCTCATCGATTTTCCACCTACGGTAGAAAATACTTGTAGGTACGACACTTTTGTCCTGCGTAATCTTTCGTCTCGAGCATCCAGTTATGTTGTCCTTGGTGAAATTGGTAACGAAGTAAAATGTATTCCGGTACGAAACAATTGTTACAAAAAAATTAGAAATTTTAGCCAGTAGCGGATTATCGAAAGCAATGTTTAGAAGTTTAAGATGTAAAATAATGTTGGCACTCTACTTAAAATATTTGTGTTTAAAATTTATAGAAGATTATTTAAGTAGAAATGATAATAAATTTAATAAATTTGAGCAATTAAAATTATTATAAGAGTTCCTATTTAGAATTATTAAACATTTTGTTACAATATTAACAGATAAAAGAAACATATTGAACACAGGAAATTAAAGCTAGCGTAATTAAATTGGAATCTTTGAAATATATGTAAATCTTATATGATTAATTAATTTATACTCCGCCACTGACTTATGTTCTCAATCAATCTGACATAATGAGTAAGTTTTACTGAAATTATTTTTATAGGATATCGATCGCAAGCAACATCCGACTTATAGTATCTTTGAAATTCATCCCTTTGAAGGGCGAATAGATCCGTTTCAAGGTATCATCTTTGAAGTAAAGTAAGTCTAATTATCTCATTGTTGTATATTGAATAAAAGCTATAAAAGGAATAAATATTCCACACATACATTAAAAATAATATCTATATTAATATATAATTCTAGATTTTCACCAATAAATGTATTATCGCAACGGAGAAAAGAACAAGAGCGAAAACAGTGGAGAAAATGTGAAAATAAATATCCAAATCAGAAGAATACAGATTTCATGCAATTTATTAGAATAGTCAGGGTACATTGTATCGAATCGGAAAATATTACCAGTGTGTCTCTTTTAGTTTATTTTGCATCGAAGTCAACTGAACAAATCTTTATTTAAATAATGTTTCTACAGGGATTGATCCTATAAAAGATATTTCAATGGATAATTCATCATCACAAAAAATTTACATACGTGAGTAATTTTTTTATACAATTTAACATCTTATAAAGTTTTATTAATATAGCTCCATATGTTCATTTTATACATAAATAACATCTTTAGATCATATTTCTTGGACTTTTTGAATAACTTCTCAGATAATTATGTAATAAAACTAGTAATCAATTATTTTGTTATACATTTTAACAGAAGAATCAACGATGGAAATTTCATCCGTGTTAATGCCCTACACATTAAGTACTGAGTCAGAAATCTATGACATAGTAAAGCTTTGTCTTTATGGTGAAGTGGAAGCGATACAAGTACATTTTGAACCTGATATTCTCTATTTTGGAGACCTAATTGTAGGTCAGATATCGAAGCGCGTGCTTCGTTTGACAAATCCTTCTGCCGTTGTACCGATATATCTAGAATGTGCGCCGAATGCAGCTATACGCTGCTATCCGAAGTGGATGAAACTCATGCCAAAAATGTCGATCGAAGTTCTTGTTAAAATTTGCGGCAAAGAAAGCAGTAATTATTACTGCTTTTCTATTTTGTTAACATGTTGACTCATTTGTGTCCTCGAATCTCGATGAGTTGATCGAGCAAGACTCTAACTTATGAATTTATTTTTACAGTTGAACCTTCCTTCAAATTGTTCTTCAATGTCGCAGCAGATTCTCACGATTCGACTGCATCAGGACGATGTTTCTGTAGAATAAAAGTTGGAAGTTACTTTATCGTATGCACGGTGAATATTATTTTCAAGTCCAAAAAGGGACTTCTAAGTAAGCCTATGTTAAATAATTCAATCAATCAAAATTTGAATTCTCCAATATTTTTAAAATTAAATCGCTTTTTTAATAAAGGTAAAAGAAGTTTGCCAACAAAAATAGTAGACGACGACGAGGAAATTACGAAACGCCTTCTAAGTTTACCCAAATGGAAGCTGTTATATAAAGACTATTCGCAAATGTGTAAATTTACAGGAAACGTAAAATCTCCGCTCAAGAAATCGATTTTCGCAACCAAGACAGCTGTACTGATACCTTTATCGCCTTTACAAATATATAAAGTCCACATTTATCCAACCACTTTCGTCTTTGGAATGGTAAGTAATCCAAAATTTAATATAGAGACTCATAAAATTGATCAGATGTTTTAAAAATCACTAAAAAATTGCTTGGACACTTATTATTTTAGAAAGAGGTCTTACTTTTTTGCTAGAGATAATGTATAAGTCATAAACACTTATTTTTAATGTCTGCTTTCTCTCTCTCTCTTTCTCTCTTTTTCATTTATTCTTTCTTATTACATAAAAAGTTTTCGTAAAGACTTTCATATAAAATTTAAAAGAGTATAATCGATTTCGTGAATTATGAACGAACAAGAGTAATGATTCTAATAGAAGCTCGTTAAATTATTTTAATCATGGACATTGAGTGATTGGGGTAGGTAGCATCGAATAGTTTCAACTATCGTCGTTTGGTTGCAAAGAATACGAACGACATTCCAGTGATGATACAATTAGTAGCTATGTCAACCAAGAGTATCTACTTTCCGGAAGGTGATTCAATGATTTTACAACCAGGCTCGATGATGACAAAGTTAGTCGAGTATTTTGCGGACGAAGTTTGCGGCAAGTTTAATGGAAATATCAATTATGTGATTAATCATAATCACTCTTTCGAGCTCAATATTACTGCTTGCATTGTTCGCAAACAATTGTGTATCGATAAAAGAGAGATTGAATTTGGGAAAGAATGGTCGAGAGGAGAAGTTTATCAACCAATAGCTTCTATTATTCAAATTATAAATAAATTGAACGCGAAAATACGCTTCAGGTAAAATGTATTTCTTTTTGCGTGTAAACAACAATAATTTAAATGATATTTAACAAAAAAATTGTTTCAAAATAATTGAAAGAATTATTATATAAAAAGTTACTGATAATTAACAAGAACAAATATTTGAGAAAGTAAAATAGCAGTTTATTAAAGTGTAGAGTAAATAAATAGCTATAGATTTCTTAGATAGATTGTTGGTTTAATAGTAATGTATGGAGTTTATACATACGATATGACATTTCCCTGAATAAATATCTCAATAATAATGGGAGATTTTTAAGATGTTTAACTCTAAAGAATAATTTAATCGTTTTTAAGTGCTTATATATAATAAATCTTGTAGAATAATTCGAATAGTTAAAATGCAATGTAAAATGACAAATTGTCAGGTGGGAAGTATCAGCGATGTCTGGATTCTATATAGAACCGAAATCGGGTTCCGTGCGGGGTAACGCTACTTTATACGCTTACGTGTATTACGAATACGATAACATGAAGGATAATTACGCTCAAGCGATAATGATGTGCGAGAGTGGAAGTCGTGTGTGTCTGCAACTTAACGCACCGCGATTTGTGCCGAAGGTTGAATTCGTGAATGGTAACGCGAATCTCGGGCAAATATCCCTCAATCTGCCAACAAAAGTGACCGCAGTTCTCCAAAATTTTGAATTTAACGAGGTGACATACGAGGTAGATAGTGCTTCATTGATACGCGGTTGCAACGTTAATCCACTGCGAGGGAAAATATCTCCGCGCGGTATCGCAATTCTTGAGGTAAGCTATCTATCAATCGTAATAATATTTCGTAATATACAAACAATATTCATTACCGCTTGTTAGGTATACCTTACATTCGACGTTTGCTGTCGCTTTACTACCGTAATTGCCGTTACGATTCAAGGGTGCCTACAGTTACTGTATAGGATAAATGGCAATGTGTCATTTCCGCGATTGAAACTTGTGCCTCAACGAATAGACATAAGACGCCTTAGCATCGATGCTTTTCAAACTCACCAGATAACAGCCATGAACGTTGGGACAACGTTATTGAAACTCCAGGTTTTGTTGGAAGAGTATCCCGAGTTTCGCGTCTCTCTGTCGGCAAATGACCAGAGTTCGGAAATAGGTATGGATTCGGCAATATAAAAATAATGAAATAAAAAAGTATCTTCTATAAACGATTAGAAATGATGAGAGATGGTAAAAAATAGGAAATAGTTAAGCGGATTCGAAATATCCTAAAATGAAGCAAAGAATATCTCCAACGAAAGAATAACAATTACATCCAATTAGAATTTTTTTACAATTAGCCCTAATCTATTATACAATAGGTATAGTAAGATTTTATAGCTTTTTGCTTAAAGCTCTGAGCTGTGACGTTAATTGGCTTTAACTTTTAAATTTTACAATTAAAATCTGATCAGCCTGTTTAAAGCTTAAGGATTACGGCAACATCAGAAAATTTTTATTGAAAACGTCACAATTTAAAGTTTAAAGCAAAAAGCTAAAGAATTCCTAAGACTATAACTGTAGATCGCGGCTTAAGAAACACAGATTTATAACTTTAATAACTTGAATAGTAACTCGAAAAATTATGAATTTTATTTAATAAATTGGATAATTTAACTGCGATTTATATATTTAATAAACAAAAAGGTACGAAAGGGATATCCATCATCCCAGGTACAAGTCAAAACTTCTATTTGCACTTTCTACCAGTCGATTTGGCCAGTTACGCTTTCTATCTGCCGATTGTGATAAATGAGCTGCTTGGTCCAGTATCGATGTTAAATCCCAAGAGCATTCGCCCAGCAGAATTTTTGAAATCGCATGAGGCTTATTATATGCATTTATCGGGTTTTGCCATGACGACGTTACCTGATAAACTGCCAACTGTATCTATCGATTGTACCGTGGCTGGCCGCGTTATTTTCTTCAGCAAACTTTTGTTTCGATTCAACGCTTTGACTAACGAAGTAAGATTTTACATCGATGAAATAAAAAAAGAGTACAAAAAATAGAAACACAAATAGTAGTATAAAAAGATTCATGTAGAAATGTACTAAAAAAACATGCAGAAAAAATTTCTATGTAACGAGATAAAATATTTTTATTTTTGTACATAGATAGTAAAAATTTTATATTAAGCTATTTTATGTTACACGATTAAAAATTTCTACATCTAATTAAGGCATTTCAAGTTCATCTTTTTACTTTTAGGTATCTGAAGAGTTGTTTATAGAGAATCGAGTGACGGTGAGGGAAATAGTAATGTCGATAAATATCGAGGAATTTAACAAAGTTGATTGCCCGTTCACCATAAAATGGTCTCACGGTGCAGAGATCAGAAGAACAACAGATGCGATCGAGTGTACCTTACATCCTGGCGGTAACGTTTCCTTTATTCTCGAGTTCAAGCCGAGAAAACGCGGCAGTTTTAGTGCAGAGGCACCAATATACATTCGCGGTGAACTCGACGACGGTGTCTTCAATAAATTACGTCTCGACGGCGAGTTTCCCACCAGTTCGATCGACGTTGAGCCAACGGAGATATATTTTACGCCTGTTCCTCTCGACACGGCGATAGAGGAAAAGTTTAGGATCCGAGCAAAGCACTTTGATAACACGGCATTTATACGGTTGAACTTTTTGAGGACGCCGCGATGCAGCGGCGATTACAAAAACGAGTTGTTGCGCGTTGACTTTCCAAACGGTAACGTCGTCTCTCCTCAATCGTGAGTTGGAGTATTTTTTCTTGTTATTTATATCATTAAAAATATTAATAAATGATTATAATTTAATAATATTTAGAAAATATTAGCATATCACTGTAAAAAATAAAATGTTAATTTTAACTTAAAGACATTTAGTGCACTTTCTGAGACATACAAAAATGTTAATTTTAACATTTTTGCATGTCTCAGAAAGTCCACTAAATGTCTTTAAGTTAAAATTAACATTTTATTTTTTACAGTGTAGAATTACTTTTTTCTATTTATCAATTAACAAAAAGCAACATTCTATACGTAAACATATTTAAAATTATTTTTTGTTTGTAAGGTATGTGGAACTGGAAGCAAGAGTAACGTTTAAGAGCGATCAACCAGTATCGCTTTGCTTAACAATTGAATTTTCGGACGATAATCAACTTGCTGTGTGTTTTTTAACGGTATATGCAACAGCGGATAATAATTTGTTAACGACGTACATGTATTCTATAAAATCCCGCTTTGATAAGACATATGCCAAATATTTAGAAAAACATATCTCAAATCCATCAATATCATCGCAGAGCCTAACAAAGAACGGTGACATTGAACAAATTCCTGATATCCGTAGAGTATGTTTTTATTTTTTTACTTTTCGATTTGTCGTATAAAATATTTCAGAATAGGAAATGATTATTGATATAATTTCATTAAATTCAGATTTTTAAATAAATGAATAAAATTCAATTGTCAATTCTGTCATAAATTAATAAAAATAGGTAAAACCTGTTTTGTGTGGCATTGAAAATTTAATTTATCAAAACATATATCAATCCTATTCTAATTTTTATTCTTCAGAATTGAGGGATATAATTATAGCTTTGTTTAAAATCAGTTACTGTATATTTAACTTATATGTGTATATTTAATATATAATTTAAATTTATTTAAATCTCTAGAGCGAAATATTTGAATCGAAACTCAGTATTATGTCGAAATTATATTGGGACAAAAAAATGAATGATAGCGAAGTAGATATATATAACAAGAATACGCAAGTGAATGGAAAACGAATGCTGGATAAACGAATACCGATTCACAAGAGATCTTCTGCGTTTTCTGTTGCTTTTGGAGCGAGGAATCACAGATACTCTGAAAGATTATTGCTTTCTAGCTGTCCCGCCAACGATCGAAAGGAGTAAGTTTGAAAAAAATAAGAAATCACCATTATTTATTAAAAAACTTAAAACGAGTGGAATTAAAGCTAAATTGAAACAGAATTGAAGATAAATTTATATATGAGAATAGAAGAGTTTAAAATGATTTTAAATTGTTTTTCCTTAAATTTAAATTTAACATAAAGCAGATCCTTTTACTTTAATGAAAATTAAGGTAATTAGTTGATAATTAATTTTAGCACACAAACGATTATTATGAAAAAAATATAAGTTTATACAATAAAATATAATGATTTTACTGTTTAACTTAGAATCAGAGAATTTTTTGTATCCTTTCTAATTTTAAGGATTTTTTTAATATTTAGAAACCATCAACTTAACAGTTAATTAAAATTATGTAGAAGTGAATAATTTATTGTACAAATATTATAAGATGTAACGCACTTGTGTTACAAATATTTGCATGTATTTATTTTTGCCAGTGATTGCGAGAAACATGTGGAGAAAATAATAACGATTATGGAAGAATGGATGTATTCGGGCCCATTGAAATTTCGTTTTTATCCAAACATTTCTTATGGCATTACGGCAGCTTTTTCGTATTTCCGTATAAAGAAACGATCTTACGTGGGAAATTCTAAACAGGAAAGTGGTGCAATTATGCTGTCATTTATCAATATCCTCGAATCAATCGTAGGACCAAACATTCATACTTACTTGGGAGAATTGTAATATTGTAATACTCATGCATTTATACATATGTGCTTCTTTTCAAGTACATTACTGTTTTTTCATTCAAGATCAAAGCAACTGTTACCTGAAAATGACATCGAAAGAATAAATTATGTTCTTCAGTTGTATAACAAGATACTGGACTTTCTTCTGTCTCAAGGAGCATATTTAGTTCACGTTTCGTCACAATTTCTCCTAAATTATGATGATTATCTAATTAGCATTGACATCGTACAGAGCAATGTTAGTTATAAGTTACGAGTTATAATTTATTTTTTTTAGAATGATAATAAAAAATTTAGAGGAACCATAATATTTTTGTACATATAGAAAAAAAAGTTTTTAGCTAAACTACAACTCCATAAAGATCTATATATTGGTTAATTTTTATATTAGGTACAGACACGAAGAAAAAATTTAAATACAAGTTGTGTATCATGTGAACGGTTGTCGCGACAATTATTCGAATTGCGAAATAAACAATATTGGTTGGATGTGACTTTGCAAACGTATAAATGTCTCGTGCTCCATGGAATACACGAGTATAAATACTGGATGTCGCCGCGTCCTTCGAGGAGATCCACAGAGTATCGGGAATCGATAGTATCGTCTACATCGAGGTTCGTTATTGCGTTACGTAATTTTACAATTGCATCTCTAATTGGATATACCTTTCTCAGCTTGCCGAGGCAATATGAACTTCACAAGAGAGCCATTGAGAGTATTGCAAATTCGCCAAGCGGCGAACTCGCTTCCGATGACCGTTGTTCTGAAGAAAAGTTTTTGCTAGCTTGGCTACGATACCATTACGAACAACAACGCGTACGAGATTGGATGACCGATCGTCTTGTAATTTTGAATCCGCAAGAAAAACAGGATGTGGCCGAATATCGAGCGATTCAAAATTTTCATCATGATTTATCTGACAGCCTTGTACTAATTGCGGTTACCGCAGCCTATTGCCCCTTTCTCATCGACGAGTGCTTTAGCAATTTGTACATTTGTGCGAGAAACAAACAAGAGGTAATTATTAAGCATTTGACTTTAGCTAAAAAAAAAAATCGTATATTAGATTATACATTGAAAATTGAAACGATATCAAAATTGTGTGCGTTAAAATTCGAGTTTCAATTAGGGCAATGTGAATTAATATAAGATTGTTGTTATACAAGCATAAAATATTAATATTTTATATGAGTCATAGGATGAGATCTTTTGTCTAACAATATATGTTTGTGAATTTTATTATTCGGCATTAAAATGTAGTCTTATGCCAAATCTATATAAATATCAAGGCAGTTTTGTATTTCTTGTTAGTATATATAGGATAATACCGTTAATGAATACAAAATAATTTTGAACTGAATACAGTAAATAGTTATTATTGGAAGACAGATTTAACAAACATTACTAATTTTTATAAGCATATATTTTTTTCTATAAATTTATGCAAATTATTATAATTGTAGAAAAAGATGTAGTGAGAAAAACACGATATTAATTGACATTCTCAATGACTTAATAATCTTTGAGCCTTTAATGTTATTTTCAATCTTTTATCATTGTACAATCCTATTTATTGCGAACAATGCAAACTACATAATTTTCGTAATATCGTCTAGATGCTGCATAACGCTATTTGCCTGGTCACTGCTTGGAGGAAAATACGACTTGGCTTCATTATTACGCCGATGCAACTGGTTAATCCGAATCAAGTGCAAATATTAATGCTGATCGTCCATCTTTTCCAAGTTTTACCGACGTACGTCCCTTGTGCCAAGGTTTGTAAAAAAAAAATCATAGTATCACGCTTTATAATACTTATTTTTTCTTTCTCATTACATTATAATATTTTATAATATTTTTACTTTTTAAATGAAAACTTTAATCCAAAAACACATCTCATATATTAGATAGGTACGTGTCCCCTATAGCAAAGGGTCACACTCATGTTACAATAGAGTCGCAATAATCAGGAAGAAAATATGTCACTGTAAAATTGTCATAACAAAATAACACATGTTATAAAGACATTCTCACATCACCATGTTATTGCTGTGACATCACATATTTGTGATAAAGCGGACATTCGCACGTCACCATGTCGTAACCATAATTGTTGTGATGTAACTATGACGTTTTTTGCTATGGGGGAGGGGGTATAACATCCCAAGTAGAACATGAAGTCATAATTATGTATAATGGTATCACAGAACGTCATCATTTGACCTAAAAAATGACTTATAAGTGACGAATGAGGTCATGATGATGTCTTCATGACTTCTGTGTTCTACTTGGAATATTACTTCACTTTTACAGATCAAATTTAACTGTCCACTATCCCAAATCGTTACGAAGCAAATAAGTATTTCAAATCCGACGAATAATATTGTAAATTACTTATTGTTGCTCGTAAACGATGTCAATCACTTTTTTACTATCCTGAAGCCCGTGTCGATCTTACGTTTAAACGCGCACGGTAGCGGCCAAGTACAAATACAGTTTCATGCTAAGAAAATACAGAAAAATAGAGGTAAAACATAAACTTATTTTAAATTATCTTTGCTTATCCGGATTATGTAGGATATTTTATTTAATTTGACAAAATGATTTGAAGTATCTCTGTTACTTTTGATATTTAAATCAAATAAAATTTATGCAAATTGTTTAAAATAAGATCTTTCTTACGTGTCATATCGATTTTTTTAATTCATCAATAGCATATTTGGTGTTTTGCGGACGGACTATTGGACCACATTTTGGAAGAAATCAGACTATCATCTTGGAGGGTCGTATCGATAATCTTGGAATTGCGAGCAAATATACTATACGCAGCAAACTGTACCAGGTTGTTGAGACAAATCTGAAAATTAATATACCCTATCAAAATGCAGCAGAATATGATATATGGATGACGGATGAACGGCCGAGTCACCCTTGTAAGAAAAAATATAATCTTTTTTGTCATTGAAGGCTTTTACGGCTGACTATCGTAAAAAAAAGACGTGGAAAATTTATCAAAGGTTTTCTACACTGAAAAAAATGCAAATTTTACATGGAAATTACATGCATTTTTTTCAGTGTAGTATAAATATCTATCAAAAGCTACTTTTTTAAATTTAAACTCGTGAAACATTTAATGTGCTAAACTATTTGTTTGCTTTATTTAAAAAAAAAAAAAACGCTATATATTAGCAATAATATTCGGATTATTCCTAAAAAAAAGTTCATTATTTTTAATTTTATAGTAAATTATACATGCGCAGATATTTATACATACGACATAATCGTAACTCGAATATTTTTAGCGACTCTAAAAATGACACGATGGAGCGAATTGCGAGCAAGAAAAATACCAAGAAGACTTTTCTTGAATCAAGAATCAATAGTCGTCGCCGAGGGTGCATCAGAGGCACATTTATCAATCAGTGTGGCGTGCATCGCACCTAAGCAACGAACATTTTGGTTGATTTTCCAAGCGAAAACGGGTGACTTTATTATTCAAGTAAGCACTTGATAAGTACGAGGAATTGTTTTACGGCACACTATACGAAGTTGTCTATAAATGACGCAAAATATGGAGAAAATGTATTTAGACTCTGAGAAAATGGCATTGATATATCTTATAAAATTAGACATTTCTTATTTATCGAAACAGATAAATTCGGTTTGGCAAACGTCAGTCAATGATCGTATAGTTGTTCAGTGGACAGCTCAAGGAGAATGCGTTTGCTCAAATCAACGAAGCGGCGTAAGAGACACTTGTCCGTTTAATGTTAGCGTACCTATACCATCTTGTAACGTTCAGCTTCGGAGATGTGTAACTGAAATGTTTAAAAAAACTCTCGAACCGCGGGAACGTCTATTCTGGTCCAAATACTCGAGTATGTCAGATTACATTTACATAACATCGAAAAATATTATAATATAACATCCAAATATATATAACATCTAAAAATCTTGTTTACCGAATCTTATTAATCTTATTAATCTATTTATAACTCTTTAATATATTTATTTTGCAGGACAAATAATTGTCATTTATTTCTTGTTTTTTTTCTCAGATTTTATTTGTTGCTTTTAGATACCTATATCGAGCTACGATTAATAAAGTGGTTGATGGGAAGTGACATTGATTCTGCAGCTCTGGAATTTGTGCATGTTTTTAACACCACAGTGACATATAAAGTTACGATTTCGGATAAATCAAGTCCTCTTATTCTACCAGAATGTTTCACTATACAAGGCAAGTAAGATTCAGGACATAAATTTATTTACTATTTACATAGAATAATTCATTTGAAAGGGCACTCTCTCTCTGAAAAAGAATTTATTTTCACTATTTCCTTCGAAAATACAGAAATATTATTAGCTATTATTTTAACCATAAACTCTTTAGATAATTTAGAATTAATATTTATGTAATTAAAATGTTCTCAACACTTTTTGAATTATAAATGATTAAAAGAGAGAATTCAAGAATTAAATTTTAGAAATGCAAGAAAATAGGATATAATTTTATTTTTCATTTAATTAAGAAGCATTTTTCTCGTATCTCTCTCATATAAAATAAATTAATTCTTTTCTTTATCAGTTTATCATTTCTTTATCTTTTTTCTGCATCCAATAGTATAATTTTAAGATATATCTTTTTTTCATTCCCTATATATATAAATATGCATATTCAAACAAATGATAATATTAATTCTCTGATATAAAAAATATAATTATAATAAGTTTGGTTCTGCAGCGCTAATTCCTAAGAGCTAAACTTATTATAATTATATTTTAAATATATATATATATATACATGTACATATTTCAATCTACATGTATCTTATGTAATGTATCGTATGTAAATTGTTGTATCTTCTATGTTTCCAATTGAAGGTCAATTTTTTATAATGTATGTATGTCTAGATGTGAGACCATCTAACCAACAAGTTCCAATGATCGTACATATTTTACCAACGACTCTTCCATTACATGAAGCGACGCTCACTTTTACGTCTTTAGATGATAAAGAACTTCGAGTATACATTATCGACTGCTTACGATCCTGAAGTTATCATTACTACGTAATTACGCATCAAGTAAGTGTAAAGATAAATAATTCGATTATAAATTTTGTTTTTACTTTCTATTTCGGTGTTAAGAATATAGAAACGCTTTGGTAACAAATAAAAAATGTAGAACGGTAGTCATAATAATCATAACGTTTGATTTTTAATACGCATTTATTATCAATATATTCGGTCGTATACCTGTTTAAGTATACAGTTTAAATATACAGGTCGTATACAGATTTAATTAAAAAATTACATAAGTTTCTTCATTCGATAAAATTTCTTCAATTTTTTTGAAGATTATCTCATGATTTAATTTTTGCTGGATTGCTTTTAATTAATCATGGCAGTAAATGATTAATCGTATAATAGAGACATAATACATATAATATACAATAATGTGAACTAATGAAGATGTAACTAAACGCTTACATTTCATTAAAAAATTCGGATTATAATAGATAGTAGTAGTAGACTTTTATGTCAAGCCAAATATATGACATATTTGATATATGTAATTTAATTAACTTATCAGAGTTGTTCTTTTTGTCATCATTTGAGTTATAATTAAATAAAATCAGATAAATACACATCAAATAATCATATTTCATATTTAGTAAAACAATGACGATAATTCTTGACTAATTTTTTTAATTATGAAAAAGATATATAAAGAGATAAATAATATGTGAAAAATATCTAATATCATAATTTAAAATAAATATATAAGAAATCATGAAGGAAGCAATAAATAACATTTGAATTAACGTCAAAGAATTTGTAAAAAAAATTGAATTTATACATTTAAAAATGTTCTAGCTAAAATTATCTAATTTTCGCGTATACAGGGTGTTTGGAAATCAAAATACTACAAGAAAGTTTTCGAAAAATTAAGTAAAACAATTATTTGTAAATTTATATTATAAATAGTAGTTTTTGAGATATAAGAGTTTAAATATAGTCAATTACAGACAACGTTTAAGAATCGGCGATAAGAAAACTCATTTACATTTCAATTGGGAGTAGATATATCTGTATTCTACCATGTATTGTTTTGTCGAAGAAATATTTTGTCACAAAACTTGTATTGAATGTTTTATAAAGCTATGAAGCCTACTAAAGAGCCAAATTTTGCAATTTGAACCTTGAAATATTATAAATAAGATTATCTGCACTTCAGCTACACTACAATACAGATCGAATGAGATTAAAAATGCCTATTTTGCGTTTTTGTTTAAAAAGTCACTCTTTAGCAAGATGTAGGCAATTCTCTTGATTATAAATATCATAATTATATTATAATTTTCTTAATATTTTAGCCGTAATTGGGACAAAAGAAATTTGTCTTCGACAGAAGTCTTCATCAAAATTTTAACAATAACTTTTTGACTTAATTTTCGAGCTCTTTTGCTATAGAAGTTTTTTCTCTGCATATCCGCATTTGTTGTAGATGGAATCTGACAAAATGTTTAAAACAAATCTATATAAACCAGTCCTTCATTGACTTCTCAATAACGTTTCCGAAATATTAAGGCAAATTTTGCCTCTCGTCGCATCATTCTTCCTAGAAATAGGCGAATAGCATGACGAATCGAGTTCATTTATTTTCAACTAAAGAGTCTAAAGGGAGAGCGGCGCCAATAGAATCATCTAACTCTTTCTATAATTGGCTGGAGTAATAAACAGGCTTTCTGCTTAGTTTATCTGAAATAATTTTTGCTCATGTGATTAAATGGCGACTCTCTTCTACATAGACTCTCTGTGCTCAACAAGATCAGGTACCTGCTCAAGTGCGATTATAACTTGAATATTTCCAATTATCCGTATTTACATATTATATAATGAAAAAAATCATTAAAACGTATCATTTTTTTTCCAGAAAATTCGATAAGATTTGGCAAACTGAGAAAACAAATATTTGAAGAGACTAAAAAATTTGAACAAAGCATCGGATAATTAAAAATGTCAAATGCTCCTAATGTATTTATAATTTGAATATCCCTAATTACTATTTGTTATAGTAAAGGAGCAGCACCAAAACACACTGTATATGAGCATTGATACAAGTGCGTTTCTCTCTCTAAAAAATTTACTTTAATAACAATCAATCTATTGTTTAAATTTAAAACGATTAGACAATACGTATGTCAAACTTTTCTTTTGAGCATATATGCTGTTGACTTTAAGAGATAATCATAGGACATCTCTTCATCTATGTGAGGCCTCCTCCTAATAGATGCATCATCTTCTACATTGTCTGTCAAGAAAATATAATCGCCATACATAAAGAAGATAAAATTTTGATACATACATGTGTATGATATATTAATTAATTATCTTACCAAGATCGGCGTACTTGGATTTACAAAACGCTCTGCGACCACCAAAAGATAGAGTATATTCAGGTAAAGATGGATTATCATTACCATGCTCCACGGCTTCATAAGCATCGTTGTTGTATAAAAAAGTGATAAAACCGTAGTTTTCGCTAAAATAATATCGCAGATTGTAGAAATTGTAGGAATTGTAGTATGAGGATAATATAATTTAAAAAAAAATAATGAAGTGTGAATATAAGTGAAGATACATACCCATGTTCACGAAAATGTACACTGATATCTTCAACAGGTCCAAAAATTTCAAATCTTTTACGTAGATCAGATTTGGTAATTCCTTCGTCTATACGTCCTACATATACCACTCTTCGTTCTTCTATTTCTCTTTGCTTTTTTCTGTTGTGCCAATCATCGTAAGTTTCGGAATAAGAACCTAATGGTGATCCACTAGAGACAAATTATAAAAATGATGAAAGGCTATATATTGACAAGATTTTATTAAACATATACGGTTATGTATGATGGTTATTCTTAACATTGAAATGAAATCAATTGAAAAATTTATTTTCCAAATATAAGTTCTTCATTTTCTCCTAATTTTTGTAAAATGTATATATTTCTATATATACTTTATATTAAATTATAACATAATTATATATAAAACTATTTAATTATACATATAATTATAATCTTAATACAACACAACAATTGTGGAAATAAAATCTTCAATTGGCAATTAGAACGCTATTTAGAATTGGGTATAATGTAATAAATTGTATAGTAAGAAATTCGTTAAATGAATATTCGTTTCAATGTCAATAGAAATCGCATCTTTATATCTCGAAAAATATGTTTTACCTATAACATCTATTGGCATGGCGATTGGCGAAGGAATGTCTCTCATATTTATCATAACTTTTTTCGCGTCTCTCATATTTATCATAACTTCTTTCGCGTCTCTCATATTTATCGTAACTTCTTTCACGATCCCTACTATCCTTTCGTTGATTAGACCATTTATTTCTTCGAAGATTTGAAGTCGAGGGAGACCTATTGGCATAATTTTTATGAGAATTTTAAACATTTTTATTCAAATTGATTTCGTTTACAAATTAGTGTATTATCAATTTTATTTATTATACGTATAATTCTGATTGGAATGAATTAGTTATATACCTTGATCGTTTAGAATAAAACCGTTCAGAAGATCTAGATCTGGATCTGGATCTAGATCTAGATCGGATGTCGGATCGAGATCTAGAACGTGAATACGAATGCTTTGATCTCATTGAAATAGATGTGGGAGACGACCAACTGCTAGTTGAGGTGACAGAGCTGCGTCGCGTGCGATGACTTATTGTTCGTCGGCTACTACGTCGATCTACTCGAGATCTACTCCTACTCCTACTCCTACTTCTACTTCTACTGCTACTCCTGTTTTTGCTTCTGCTTCTGCTTCTGCTTGTGCTTGTGCTCCTTCTACGTGTACTAACACTTCTGCTTCTGTTCCTATTTCTTGTCCTGCTCTTACTTCTACTTCTCCTTCTGCTTCGATTTTCACTTTTGCTTCTACTTCTTCTTCTGTCTCTACTCCTACTTCTACTTCTACTCCTGCTACTGCTACTGCTTTCGCTTGTCGTACTCCTGCTTCTACTTTTTGATCTAGATCGACTCAAACTGTGAGAAACTCTTTCGCAGGATTTCTGTTTTTTATTCTTTGTACTTTTCTCCCTATTGTGATATTGTACAAATTATTATAATATAATTAGAATGCAAAAGTTTTCGCAATTAAGATTTCACGATGACTTCTTTCAAGAAAGAGGAAGGACCAAAAATATTTTAAGGATTAAATATTTAAAACTGACCAGGATCTTTTCGAAAGATCTTTTCTAAAACGTATGTGTAATTATTGTCGTAATATCATCATATTGAATCATTATTTTTAATATAAACAAATTATAAAGCAATCTTTTTACTAAATTATTTGCATTATTGTGGTTTATTTTTGACATATGAAACATTCGAATAAGAAGATTCATCATGAAATCCGATAAATTTTAAGATTAATAATAATAATATTTAATACCTTACCTTTTTGTGTTTTTCACCATAATTTTCCCATCTTCCTCCTCAACATCTACTGATTTTAAATATTCAAAAATATTTTCGTCCGTTTCCGTTTGTACATCGCGAGTAGGTGGTTTTGGCTTATTTTTTTCTTCTTGTATATCTGATTCCTTTTTCCAACATGGCATAATTTCTCTCTCACACCAAAACGTATCCTTTATTTCTTGATCAGATCTAAGTAATGGTTTCATAGTTGAAGCATGATAAATATCCACTAGTATAGTTCGAGATGATTCTTTCATTATCATGGGTTTATCATTACGAGATTTATCGTTCAGTATTCTTTTTCGATATTCTAATACACTAATTTTGACACGAGATGTCTTGTCTTCTTCATGTGGTAGCGTGTCTTGAGTATTTTGTACAATTATATTTTGTACTTCATTATTTGAATTATTCATAGTGGTTACCATATTTTCATTAGAATTATTTATCGAGAATTGTGATTGTGATGCGTTTGGTGGATTCTTCAATACGGAAATATATTGCGTTTTAAAACTTGTTTGTACAATATTCGTTTTAGGTAATACATGTTTCTGTGATTGCAGGATGATTTTTCTAGCTAAAGGTGAACGAATAGAAAGAAGAAGAGGTTTGACGGTTGGAGATGCGTTTGAAATATTTATATTTCTAACAGATGAATTATTTAAATCGTGGGAGTATTTGAGAGAAATCTCTTTTTGACAGTCTTTATGATCATTTTCGAGCCAATTATCTTTGATTTCATTTTGTAAGACTGCTGGTTTTCCATTACCGTCACACACATTAGCCAATTCCAAATGATATTGTTCATTTGAACTGTCAGTATTATGTCTTTCGTGTTGGTTCCAATTCTCATTTTGGCTCGATTTTAATGCAGATGTATGTTTTGTAGTTTCTAGTATACATAAGTATATTTTAGGTCCAGTTTTTCATTACTTGGTTAACTTGTGGTTAGGCTTAATCTAATGTTTTATCCAATGGGCTTCATCTGTGATAGGATCATAGATGAAGCTTATTGGGTGAAATATAAGATTAAGCTTAATCACAAGTTGACCAGATAATAAAAAATCGAGCGATGTCATTAATTAGGATAGTTTTTTTATTTTCATTACACTTATATCCATCGTACTTACTGTTGCTATTGGTACGAAAGCTCTTGGTACGAAAGTTGTCATTATTGCAATAATCGTGATCCAACTGTACCAAAGTTCTACTAATAGTTCTACTCTTAGCATCATTCAATATCTAAAAAGTGTTATAATTAATGGTGGATTATTTTACATCAAACATTTTGCAATAATAGTCGATATGTGAAAAATAGATGCGCGCACATACATATTCAAATCATGTCACAATAAGGAAAGGATTCTACTTACTGTAGAGTCTATCTTCAAAATCTTGTTACAGGAAGCTCCGTCTTGCATTCGTGTACTCTTACGTTTACTACTTTGTACATTTAGCGTAGCAGTTTTCGGACTAGTTTTTCTACGTTCTGATAGCTAAAATTCAACAAAATAATCATAATTAGGTCATAATTATACTAACCCACTTAAATATTAAAATATTTATTAAAATAATATTTATTAAAAAATAACCTTTGTTTTATTGATTATTTTTTTAGGTAAGATTGAGGTCTGTTGATTGGAAGCTTGAGAAACGGATTTCTCCGATATGTTAGCCCTGCACTCTTGAGTCACTTGACATGTTTTGTTTGATCTCATGTCATATGTATGATCATTTTTAACGATCGATTTATTGCATGGACTTGGATTCTCGCAAGCCTCGAATTTTTCCAACAAACTCTTTGCATCGTGTGCTTCCAGTACTAATAAAAAATAAATCTTAGTAAAATGTTATAATATTAATGTTTACTTAATAGTTTGATATGAATCTAAAATGATTTAATTACTTGGTATTTCATCTCGTGGTATCGTTTCAACATCTACACAATCTTCTTGCTCCTCTGCCTTAACTTTTTTAATTGTTATTGTATTTTTAATTGCTATTATATCTTCTTTCGTTTTCTTTTTCCCTTTTGCATTTTGATTTTTTGTCTTGGTATTTGCTTTATTTTTATTTTTTACATAAGACAATACAGGCAGAGTGTTATTTGTTGGAAACTGAAATATTTCGTCCTTTATTTCTTGTTCAGTAAAATTGTCTTCTTCAATCTTTACTTCCGTTTTTACGGTATTATCAAATATTTCAGATGTAGCTCCTTTTAAAATATTAAAGAGAAACGTTTTATGTTTTATCAAAATTGACAAAAGTTGACAAAAAAAATTTAACAATCATTGATTACAAACCAGTTTCTTGTTTTTCTTCCTTTAATATTATTTCACAAGGCTTTTTATTTATTTCAATCATATCTTCATATATATATATGTTCTTGGTAGGTGTCGTTATGTAGTCCTCATAAGATGATAATGACTGCAGATTGGAGAAAAGCATTTTATTATTATATTGTATAATTCTTAAACAATAGAATTCATATACAGTATTCATTAATTACAAAGAAAAACTTCCAACCTGTAGCGAGTTTGCAAACAGATCTTCAACAAGCCTAGTTGCTTCGCTACTAAAAAAAAATAATTAAATGTATTTACATGTTGTACATTTATCACAATTATCATATATATATATATATCTTGAATAAAAATGGTATACTTACTTTTCTCCAATATTACAAATGGAATTGTACACTGCGTTAAAATTTTCTGCTGAAATATTCTCAACCATATCCATCAGCCGTGAACTCTGAAATTTTTTATAATGCAAATAAATGTTTATTAATAAAGAAATAATCATATTTTTTTATTAATTAAAAATATTAATTAATATTTTCATTAATAAATATTTATTTGCATAATAAATATTAATAAATTTTTTAATTTTTTTTCTCATATATTTAGCTGTATATCAATTGACATTTTTGTAAATACATCTTTATGTTTAATTATAGTTTTAAGAAGTAAATGTTTTTGCATTTTTGATAAAACAATTATAATTTTTATTATAAAATTTTTTTAAATTAAATCATAGTCCATTCATTCCTAAAGAGATTTAAGAAACTAAAGACCGGTACTTTCAAAGAAAAACGAATCTAAAAATAAAAAATATGATTTTACTGGAAAAAGATTTTGTTATTATTTGACATTACAATCTTTCACATCTTTCACAACGATTTATTTTCCTTTTCATCATATATGTATAATGTATATATATATATATAGTATATATATATTTAATTGTTAATAACTTTTTGACTAAAAATGTGCAAACGAAAAATCAACTTGTTTCGAAATATGCAAACGATAATATAGCGATTGAAACTAAATAAATTTAATTTGTTCGTGGTTGGCAGACTAATGTGAAATTACCCACTTCAAAATTGTTTTTTCAGTAACTTTTTTACCAGAAGTATGCAAACGAAAATTCGAAATCAAGGTGTCCAGCAAAATCTGGCTACTCAATTCAAGAATAATTTCAGGAAAAATCCTATAATTTTTACAAGATTTATTCATCGATTAATTTTCATCGGTTCGCGCAATATTATATGGTTTGTATTCAAGCCAAGATTCTATATAAATGAATTAAAACTCTAACAAATTTAGAATATTATTTATATTGTTTTATAAATAATATCAAATGAACATTCATCACAAACGATAATTTCTCTATTATATTCTATTTTATAACAGTAGATAATAAATCCAAATTTTTTTATTAAATTATAGTTTGTGTTGAATGTTTGTTTGATATTATTTATGAGACAGTAAATAATATTGGTCCAAATTTGTTTTCATTTTAAAATGTGTTATATAGAATCCTGATTTGAATTCAAAACACATATAATATTGTGCGAATCACAATAAAAATTAATTAAGTAATGAAAATTAATCGACATGGAAAAGTAAGGGTTTTCTGGGATACATTAAATTCCAGGATTCAAGGACATTTAAGGATGGACACTTTGAAAGAATTAAATTTCTTTTTAAGAATTTAAAATTATATTGCGATATATATATAGTTGATAGTACACAATTCCATGAATTAAATTAAGTTGAGACACAAAAATAATTTCGTATTTCTATTATATCTCAGCATAGTTTTAATTCAGAGAATTATGTCACATGATTTTAATTTACTAATAAGAATCGAAATTCTCTTTAGACAGTTTTTAAGAGTTTTACATTAGACGAAATTTATTTTACGCTATTAAAAAGTAAAACGGTTTGCTTTAAACATATAATCGATTTAACATATTTTTATTCAAATTATAATTAGTTTAGAAACTCTCGTTTTAAATTTCTCAAAAATAACAAAATAAGTTACTAAGATCCGATTGCACCAACGTTACTTTTTTTTTTTAAGTGAAGCTTAAAATTTCCCTTTCTTTTTTTAAAGCTGAGAGAGAGAGAGAGAGAGAGAGAGAGAGAGAGAGAGAGAGAGCCAGAAAGGAAGAGAGTTTTGAATCTCGCTTAAAGTTAAAGTAATATTGGTGCAATCGAGCCTAAGTGGTTAGAATTCAGAATTGACACGCAGGTATAAGACCTTTGTGTTTTTTTGTCTCTTTGACCATTACGGTGGATTTTCCAAAGTTTTGAATATAACCGACATTGTGTACAGAGGGTACAGAGTGACAATGGAAATTGAGCATTTCTATTGTAAAAGAAAGGAAAATTTTGCAAACGCTTCTTTTTTAAACACATGGTCAGTCAATATAATTTGCAGCAAAACGCGCGCGTTCTTAAAAACATAATCTATATAAAAAATATTACATAGATAAGCCTATACCTTGCAACCTACCAATCTTTTATTCACATTTTAAAAATAAATTTTACGTTATTGTCTATTTAAAAGTATATACGTACTTTTTTTTATCAAGATTTACTTAAACACAATATTAAAATTAGAATACACAACAACAAGGATCGCTTATACGAATCAACTAACAATAAGTACGAGAAACGCCATTCAAACTTCAAAGTAAGATATTGGAATAAAACATGTATATTTAAATAATTTTTGTCTCTCAGATATTAGATTGCGCGCCAATTTTATACTTTTGGTTTTGCATCAAACTGAAATAATAATGTATTCCTTCCAAATTAAATTAAATCTTCAATTTAATGCCACAGGCATCTTAAATCTTACTTAAATACAATTTTAATATTATATTTTTTAGAAGAAGTTTACAAATATTAATATATTTTTTGACCTTTCAGATGTATATAACTTCTTAAAAAATATTTCAGAAAATTATTATTGAATGAATAGCAAAAATAGTACTCACATAATAGAAATCATTTTTAAAAGTTTTAATGTTTAGCACATGAATTAAGGTTAATGAAGTGAAGTTTTACAAAAGAATCTACAAATGAATAAAAAAGAATGGACACCTAGAAATTTTATCTATGTTTACGCATTCTTTTTCATTTTATGCTTTTGTAAACTTTACAATTTTTCATGATATTTATTGTCAAATAAAATAAGAACTTTATTTAGGTATCTCACAATTGCTTTCCAAACGTTTTTCCTTTTATGTTCTAGATTTTAATAACTTTCACCGAGAACCTTCATTATTACTGAAATCTTTAAAAGTATGTTTTTAATTATATCTAGATACTATTTAGATAAGAAGAAACCTGAATGATCTTATATACTTCATTGAATTCATCCCGATAGTGATTATTTAACACACAGACCTAAAGAAATAACATTTCTTTTTATAAATAATTTAAAATGTTATAAATAATTTTAAATAAGCAATCAAAGAAATTACGGGCAAAGTATATAATTAAGATAATTTTTATTTTATCAATAGAATATTGTATTTTTTTTATCTTAATAAGTGTTGATATATAAAACAGTGTTTTTAAAAATTATTCAAACTCTTAGCGAGTATAAAAATTTAAAAATGATGAAAAAATATTTTTATCATAATATTATTTAACAGAGATTCTTTTCTCATTTCAAATTAGAAAATTTCAAAACATGTTAGAGTGTTAAAAAAAAAAAGAAAAGTGATTGAATATGTAGTCCTCGTGTTAAATAAAGTAGGCAATGCAACGCAACTTTCGCAAATTTCGAACAAAAGTTTCTTAATTGTCATTATTAAGTTTATTTCCGATCTTATCTCAATGTTTAGGAAAGTTTAAAAGTTTAACCAGAAGTTAAAAAGAAGAATATATACCTAACTATACATAAAGTATTAATGAAAATGCTAAAATAATCGTCAATAAATGATACTTTATTTAGTCCGCTTCTTTCAATGTAAAATGAATTTTAATTTCGACTTACTTTTTATCTTTTTCTAATTCTAAGAAAAAGATAAACAGTAAATTAAATTAAGATTAAAGTTAATCTACATTGGTAGCAATGGATATTAATCAACAAAGAATATGTTTTATCAAGATTATATTGAATAAATGTTAAGATTTGTTAAAATCTTAACAGTTAAAATATATAAATAAATAATTTATTGTTTCCCCCCCGACATGCAACAAAATTATATGCAAAAACATTATGCTAAAATAAATGAATGTCCATTAAAATTAAAGTGTAGTAATAAATGAATATGGAAACAAATTTCCTATTTTCCGGAAAAAAAAAAAATTTTTTTAAATGATTTAAAAAATTATCTGAAAATTATTTTAAAATGTAATAATTATTTTTAAAAATATAGTAATTATTTTCAAAGAAGACTAAAAAAATTTATTATAAATAACATTATAACAGCTTTTTTGCAAAATGTAACAATTTTTTTTCAAAAACATAGTAATTATAAAAAACGTAGCAGTTATTTTCAAACATATAGTAATTAAAAAAAATTAACAATTACTTTCAAAAATATAATAATTCTTTTCAAGAAAGACTCCTGTTACGAATAACGTTATAGCTTTTTTTGCAAGATTGTTCCGCCACAGACGGTATTTAGAACAAGAAACTAGCTCCATTTCTTGAGTAAGATCAAAATTATTATGATAGACGAAATCATTTTTTTTTCTTGACGTTATCACTGGACATTCATAAGCGCGTTGTTCAAGTATGTAAATATATAAGAAATTTACCTCGTCCTCAGCTAAGTATGGGTAATCGGGAAATAATTCCTTGGGAAATGTATCGTATTCATTTCCAATCGTACGATTTCCAGTTTCTATTGCAAAATTTCCAGCTTCCATCGTTCAAATCGTTGCTTGGCACTTGTCACTTCACGTTACCTGCGGTACAAACGATACACTGAAAAATACTAACTGAGCAAGCGGCTGACGCGAGCAACTTCGAACGCAATTGGCACGCTAAGCCACGCGGCTTTATTCTAGGTTATGTTATACCGAGGGGTAAGGGAGTGTGACGGGAACGCACGTGTGCGGCTCAGGGACTTGACATTCGACTTGAAACGCGCTTTACGTGGCTTTATGCGAACGATAGACGATCATGTACGGGCACACGGGATTACCCGAGGGTGGCGTGGATTTTGCAACGTGAATCGCGTCCACGTTGCGGTCAGTTCGCCGCGCCGACGAACCACTGTGCCGTGGCACGGATCGAACCAGCTGTGGCGGCAGAGATCGCCGATCGACCGCGATACCGTTATTCTATCGTCAAAACAGAAAATAAATTCGCAATGATGACACACACTGTGGCGAACTTGCACGACGCGACTGTCGAGAATTCAACGTCTCCGATAATATTCCGGATGGACGGAGGGAACGCGTGGCTGCTCCGAAGATACCTTCTTGAAGTCTGCACATGGAAATTGGAAGGAGAGCGTCTCTCTTTACGTCTGCACGGCGGAGAGAAAGAGAGACGCGTCGTATACGCACGCGTACACGCGCCCGTAGTAGGCGCGAACGTGTCTATGTATTCGCGGAATGAGTGAAAGGAGGAGAGACCGGAGAGAAAGAGAGAGAGAAAGAGAGAGAGGGAGACAGAGGAGCCGGCTAGCCATGCTTGCCCACGCCGCGTCAGACCACCACGCCTCCGGAGACCAGCGGCTGACGTTCCGCGAGAATGCTGTTCGATGTGATTACGTCGGATTATGCTTGGAACGTGATTTCGTGCCGGATTTCGATGCTTTCCTACGTCGTTCCGATTGATAAGTTAACACCACGCGGCAACGCGTGTCAGTAGCAAGCCCTACGAACCTCGTCGAGCGAAGGAGTCACGGTTATCTCAGCGGTATTTAGCAGGAACTCGACGCTCGAATAACACCACGTTCGCTTAATACACCGCAACGCAGCACGAGCCGACACTGATGTCCGCGGAAAATACTGCTGCTTGATACGACGAGCGAATTTCGATCGGTAGTTCCAACGGGAACACGCGTACACGTGACTACCACGTTCGCGACGACTAGTCTCGAGTCGGAGTCTCTCTACTACTACACGAACTTCGTTCACACCACAAGCGTACACCTCGGCGCACGTATAGTACGGTACTACTGCACGATGCACACTACTGTGACCGACGTCCGTACCACGCACAACTCTCACGAGTCTGATCTGGATTTCTGGAGTCTGCTAGCGCATTTCGTATTCGATGGTCACTCACACAATATTATACTCTTGTATTGTTGTGTGCGCACGCAGCTTGGAGCAGCTTGGAGCGAAGATTTTTCCCGCGAAGATGGGGTAGGTTTTCGAATCTGAGTTCCAATAGCATTCACGTTTCATTGAAATGAGTGAGACGAGTGAGACCCACATCGACTGGTAAACTTTTCTGATTGGTCACAAGTAATGTCCCACTGATGGCCATTCCTAAATTTTTACTGAAAAGAATGAATCCCGGCTGCCCATTTTGAACGGATGAATAAAATTGTCTAATCACGACCACTGAATGGTTACTTCCGTAAATGAATGATATTGTTGAATTTCTAAATAAAAAAAAAGAATTTGAATGGGAAACATTAAAAAAAAAGCACGAAGTTCTTTTATGATTAAGAAATGCATGAGAATAATATATATATAAAAATAATAATTTTTAATAAAGTTATATACTTTATAGGCGGTAATAAAATCTCTTAATTTTTTACATTCACTGACTTATGTCTTATGACTTGAATATTAATACATATTGCGAATGTAATGGAAAACTTTATCACTGTTTATTGCAAATGCAAAAGCATACCGCGATTATTTACAAACATGTCACAAATAATTAAAATATTAAAGTTAATAATAAATACATAAAATATAATAATTAAATAAATATATATATAAAAAAATATAAAATATAATAATTAAAATGTTAAAATTATTACAAAAATATATACTTCAAATTCTTTAACTAAAAAGTTTAGGATTATACGAAGATTATACTAATTATAAGGTTGGTTATTTTAAATAATTTAAATAACTTAGGAAAAATAATGTGACATGTTACAGTACTATTAATATATACCCCCCTAATATATATTATATATTGATAATAATTATCAATATTTACGAATAATATGTAAGAAATAATTAAAAATTTATATATAGATTCATAGTTTTCCAAGGATCGTTTTTTTTTATTGTATATAATACGAGTTCATTAAAGATGATTACATGGTTAATTTTACAAGTATTAAACAAATGCTGAAAGGAATATATATTATACGCGAAGAAATTCTGTGGAGTATTACCTGCATGTCTACCGACTTTCGTTTCTAACTGCAGCGGTAGTCCACAGGGTGCCGCTGGCAAACTGTAAGTTTCAAAAGCAAGCTATTTGAACAACAATTCCTAAAGTTAGATGTCGCCTACGGCAAAGTACGAACATTTGCCTGCGTTTATTAAAGCATATAGAGAAAATGAAATCAATTAATTGTTGAAAATTATATGAGGCTTGTAATTTTGCAATTTCGAAATTATTCGAATGACTATTATTTATTTAGATTTACTTGAATTATATTGTGTGCATAAACGTTGCTGAAATAATCACGAGATGGCATTATAAGGATTGTAACAGAGATTAAATGTGTAAATTCATATATATAGATATTTATTATACATATTTATTTTGTTACAAATTCGTACAGATTTTTTTCTGACGTATTTTTCTTGAAGATAAATTTTACAAATTTCAGCACTTTATGTTAATTAATTAAGCATAATCACATTGATTGTTGGCTTTATTTCGTAGCACGTGCTTCGTTCATTATTTATAAATAGGTATCTATAATATGCCGATAGATTAAATTAGTCACATATGTAATTAATGAAAGAATTGCTGTAATCTAAAGATATTTAATTGTCCTACGTTACTAGAATATCCTATATCTTGTGTTAACATGATTGTAGCATAATTACATATTTGCTCATTATTTGAGCAAATAAGTAATTATGCTACAATCACGTTATCTAATCAGTCTTTCAATGTAATTTAGTTCATAGATTAGATTCTGTTATCGCTATCTTTGGAATGCGTCGAACATTTAAAAAGTTTCAATCCTTAATTATTCCAGGAACTGCAATATTAAGTTCTCTCAAATGAATGTCTGGCTGTATATCGCTTGAAAGATCAAAGCGACTTTTGGTATAAAACTACGATGTACAATTTATAGTTAGTATATAACTGTTACACAATTGTTATGACGTTATATATGGCTTATAATAAATGTTGCAAAGTTTATAGTGTTTTATTAATACGTGCACACACAGTAGAAAATTAAAAAGTTTTACAAGCCGTTTATTATTTTGAAAACTGTTAGAGATAGCAATAGAATCTTTTTTCCTTTTGTGCTTTGTTTCGCGTTTTATAGCTTTAAAACTTTATGGCCTTTCACGTGTCGCCGCTGCCAGATTCCTTAGATGGAAGAGGGTAGGCAAGAATGCACACCCCTCGTTTTTTTGTTACCATAGCCATACTCACTTCATAAATCAGTTGTCCGTTTTCTAGCAAATAAAAATACTAAGTCTAAGAGTCAACGGAAAATGAATATTTTAAGAAGAATTTTTATGTCTTTCATTATACATTTTGTTATAAAATATGAATTTCCTAGTAAAGTAATTAAGTTTTGAAAGACCTTGATTTAATATTTTTCTTCGCAGACCGATAAAGAAATGATTGATGACTTATATTTTTTGCCAGGTATAATTATCGTTTTTTGAAATCTTACCTGAATGCATAGGTTTGAATATCTAGGTTTGAAGCTTTTATATTTTCTTGACATAATAAAAAGAAATTCTCAGGTATCCGTAGGTATTTTATCTTCGAAAATCCCCAAGGAAAAGAAAATACGAAGAGAAAATGCATTTGTCACAAGTATTAACCAGGTAATCCAGATCAAAGTACCGCAGCTGAAATCTTCAAATTCCATAAATGAATTTTCTTCTTTATTGTTATTTATTATTATTATATAACTCTGGCATTTATAAATTTACATAAACGATAAAGTAATTGTCATAAAATTTTTAAATGTGTATTACTTTTTGTATGTGTATTATAGTTTTATAGCGCATTTACTACAAAAGTTATTAAACGATATACTTTTTTATTTTTTTTTATATGTAATACAAATTTTTGTTCAATTAAATAAGAGAAATTTTATTTTTCGGTTAAATCAGATTTTAATATTTAAATATTTCTATGTAAATTTATATACATACCTGATTCTGCAAATTGCACATCGAAATCTTTTTCTTGAAACGCAATCATGAGCAGAAGAATAGTAATATCACATTTTAAATTAACAAGTAATTTAATAATTTTTGTTAATATACATCTTTATAAGAATATTAATAATCTGATATACAATGACAATCTTGAACCTACAAATAATTTATTGCGAAAAATATCGCTTCAACCAAGTTTTAAACCTTGATCTTCCGTATTCCGTGCGGGCGTCTTCACCATTCGACCACAGAAATAAATTCACACAGAAATATTTAAACACTAAGATCTGCTTCGACCGCGAAAAATAGGATTTCTCTTATTTAATTGAATTTATTCTCAGTCTGTTATAGATTTTTGTATTGTAATTTTTTATTTTACTGACAATGAGTAATATTTATTTTAAATGTTCAATTTTTTATATTATTATTTTATACAACTGCTGAAGACTATCGTAAAAATGCATGCGAAAAATACTAGTAACGTGATTGAATTTTTTATTTTGTGAAATGCTGTTATACACACATATACAAACACACAAGCGTTGTTGTGATACTTTCTTTTGTCTTCTTATTCAATTTTATATTTTAGATTTTTAATTAATATATATATATATACATACATAAATAAGGAAAATTAAGATTTTTTTATTGCATTTGCAATTTTTTAATTTATTTTTTTTTAAAAAGAAAACAAAATACTTTGATTTAGTGAAGCCTGATTAATAGTTACAATAAAAACAAAAACAAGCATATTATTACTGGAAATTTTGAACATAAAACAGCAGAAGTGCGATCGCGCTTCTTCTCAAACGATTAACCTTAACATGTAATGGAAAAAGAAGAAAATATTATATTGTTTAACTGTATCAGCGTGGAGATATTTTCTAAAGTTAATATTTCTATTTTTACAAAAAAAAAAATCAAGCTTAAATGTCATTCCTATGATATCGTTCCTATGATAAACAAACTTATTGTTTTAGGATTAATAATACATATATTGTTTTATGACAGTATGATATCAATATTTAATAAGGTTTAAAAATTATTAAATTAATAATGTAATTTTTTTATTGATAAGACTAGATTAATCCAAGAAACTGCATCATTGTTTTTATCGTGAATATTGCA